ATTCATTATTTTTCTTCTGTGTTTGTGACAGAGTTACAGCTTAGAGCTGCATTTCATGTACTGTTTAAGCAACTGTTAATATTCTATTTATAACATAGCAGCAAGTACATTTTTTTCAGATTTTAATATATATCTTTTGTTGTGGATTCATACAGTATGTACAGAGCAGTTTGGTCAAATGAAACATATGATGTTATGAATTTTTAAATGTTTCATAACTGCTGATATAGAATACAGCCTAATTACATTTTATTAGAAAACACTAATCAGGCACAAACTATGCTGTGAAGTTTGACTTATATCTCTTTGCACTGATGTTATGTCAACATGAATTTCAGGTGATTTTTAAAATACCTAACAAGGTATAAAATGTGTGTTTAATTCATACTAGTAAAAGGCCAAATTACAAAATTACAATTTTCAAAAACCTGTTATGTATGAATTAGCACTTTTTATTTATGCTTATCTGATTTTTCAGGCAAAAATGTCTAGAGACTAAATGCTAGTCTGACAGGGAGTCAGTGGAGATTGCAACAAGACTGAGTTGCTAGAATCAGGTTGAATTCAGTAAAATTATTCCATTTTGGTTTGCCTACCAATATAATTATCTCAAAGCTGGCTTTAATAAGCTTTATGTTCAGTAAATTATTTTAAAAGTCAAATTTGCATAAACACTTGATTTGCAAAAAGTACTTTGGAAATTCAACCTTAAGAAAAATATGTCAGAATTTAAGACCTACAGTTATGAATGCTCTTAAAAATGGTACATCTGAAATTTAGGTACTGTGAGGGATTTAGAATTTTAATGTAACAGGTGTGCTTTTTACCTGTTCTGTGCTGCTGTTCCACAATTACGAAGACATATTTTATTCTTTGATATTTTGCATGTGTTCCTTTTTGGCTCAGGAATAATTGCTGTGATTTTAGGAAGATGCCAAGCCTGTTACAGGAGCTTAGGAGACATAAAGTAAGATGAATTTATAAAAAGAAAAATCAATTTGGTAACCCTAACGTTGGTTACCTTTTGGTTTGCAGGAAGATTTTCAATTTCTGTAACACTGTTTTGAAGGCAGGGTTTTAGATGCTTACATTTGTAGTGAAAGGGGCATCATATATGCTTGCCCTTTTTTTGGGTTTGGGATGTCAGTAAGACTCCACGTGTTACATTTTATCAACAAATACAGATGTCCCAAAGTGATATCTTTAGACTTTTCAGGAAAGCAATAATACACTTAGACTGTGATGTGTTTTGGGATGGGATATTCTAGTAAAATTACCTGTGATTGTGAATTGCAGAGCAATAATTTTTACAAAGCCATATTTTGTGAGGTATCTTGGGAATTATTTTAGAATGGTGAATGGAAGACTTTTTATATAACAGTGGCAGCCTATTTGTAGAATTATGGGGCTGTGAGAGTATATTATGCTGTGATTGAATTCTAAGTATTTTGTAACTGGGTATGTGATTTTATGTGCTTCATGTTTACAAAAATATGCCAAGCTGAGCAAGGTCAAGTGGACTATTAAAAATATGTGTATTTAATCCATTTTAATGTTTGGCTGCAATAAAACACAGAAGAATATCTTTGTCTTTCTAGTGTCATTATTTATTCCTAAATGTATTAAATATTAGCTATAGGGATAAATATTTGAGTCAGACACTAAGTAATATTATTTTTTAATTGTGGATTTAAATATTAAAAAATATATTTGAAAGTATTGTTTACAAGGAGCAAGTAGCAAGTAAAATAAATTAATTTTCTTTCTGGCTGCTGTTATGTAGAGAAAATGGGCAGTATGCTAAGATCTGTGTCATCTATAATTGTGTCATGATTGTCCTTTCGGAGTATTAACATTCTGCAACCAACTAGGTCTGAATTTTTTTTCATGAAACATCATTTCTGTTTGTAATTTATAATGGATGAGATAGCACTTCTTAGCAAACACAAATGTCTGGGAAACTGGTATATCTGTTTTGCATACAGAATATTGTGGTTATGGTCCATAGTTTAAATCAGAAATCTCATAAGGTCCATGCACTTCTGTGAAAGCAAAAATCTTCATTGACCTTCTCAGTTTTCAAATACCACCAAAGCTTTAATGATCTGCTATTACTGAATAGTAGTTAAAAAAAATGTCAGAAAATGACCTTTTCCTTAATATTTTCACATTGCTACATAGCCTCTTATTATATGTCAGTGAATCTATGAAATCTTGGCTTCAGTTGTTTTTTGTTTTTTTGGAAATCACAAGAAGAAATACCAGTGAGCAGAGTAGAATACTAAAGTTGTATTTTAATACTGCCAATCTGCTACAATTTAAGTGACTTCTTAACATTCTCTGTAATTGAAAAGGTACCATATCTTGGCACTTCTTTCTAAGAAGTAAATGGCTAAGATTTGGTATAGGAAAGATGCTGAAAAATATAAAGATTTTACTGAACATAATTTGTAATTTTATATTTTTCAAAAATTATGTGTATGTAAATAAATAGTACTGTGCATTTATACTGTTGATTGAGATTCCTGTAAAATCTACAAGGTCTGAAACACATTTTTAGTTGTGACTTGGAACATTCTCATATGCTATAAAACATTTAGTTGTATTGTAATATGAAAAATAAATTTCTTCCTGGTAGAAACCTTCTTGGGAATCCCTGGTGCCTTCGTTATATAGTGATAGCACTCCTGGCCTGTAAGAGATTAGCTAAAGCTCTTTTGTCAGTAATTTTGCTGGAAATGAAGACATTGAATAAAGGATGAGAGTGGTTGGAAGAGCTAAGGTTTTTTCTATTTGTTTGCTTGAGCTACAGTTGGTTTAAGTTGATGACAAAATAGTCTCAAGGTTTATTATCATATTCCTGACTTTGAGAGAGCACATTTTCAAGCCTTTGTCAGAAATAGCATAATTAAAACCTTTTGCACCATTGAAATATGCTAGGGATCAGTGTGGAAGGAACAAAGCAGTATGTGCTGAATATGATGCTGAAGTGAATTCCTAGTGAAGTGTCAATTCTTAGCTTCAGAGCTAACAAGATCAAGTTGTGATGAATTTCAAAAGCAGCTACATAGGAGGAGAAGTGGGAGTATTTAAAGATCATTGGAGAGGCTTTAGTGAAGTCAATTGCAACTAATTTAGCAGAATACAGGCTGAAAATAGTCTGAGAGTTTGGAGAACTGATTCTAGTGCATAAATAGAGAGTTGGAGAGCTGTAGGTTGCATGTTGCATGAGTCTCAGGATTAAAGAATGTGAAGCCAGACAAGAAACGGAAGATAGGAGTGGGCTTTAGAGTAAGGAGGTCATATACATTGTTTTCCCTGTAATGGCAAAGAACTTGCAGAAGTAACATGAATGTCCAAGATGTGTGAAGGTGGGTTATCCAGTGACCTAGAATGAAGCAGAGAGAAGAGGCCAAGTGAGAATCTCAAGTGTTGCTAATGAAGGAGAGGATATGTGAGAAGTGGGTGGCTAAGTGGCATGATGTGTCACGGTAATGAGAGGTGGTAAAAATAGAAATATGAGTATATGAAATGGTTTGTGCGAAAACTGTAAAAATAAACTATTATTTCATCTGGGACTGCATTATTGCTCTTTTAAAAATGTAGTGTTTTGGATGGCATATGACCATTTTATTGATTGCGTGATATGTGCAAAAAAATAAAGAAGCCAGGGTTTTGGGAAATACTGCACAATGCTTTCAATAATATACTGCTACAGTAATAATTGTTCCTAGTATGTAATTGACTCTATAGATCTTTTGTCATTTCTTACAATTGAATTGACAATATAGATCCCATGATGTAATTGAAGAGGTGAATGACTTTCAGTGTGATCATATTTATTTAATTTACCATATAATCAAGTTAATGCTCATTCTGCCTTGTACTGAATATAAATTAGAGTTATAGTGTCCATACATTCAGGAATAGCAGTTGTCAGCCTATAGTAAAGGGTGAAATTACAGTGTTAAAAAATTTGATTTCATGTGTGTGCATAATCCAGTTTCTTTATTAAAAAATTCAATGTTTTTCTGCATTTTTAAATGTTGTATTTGTACTATAATGCTTCTGATCAGTCAGCTTAGAAAACAGTAAAGATTGAGTATTCAGATAAGGTGTCTGTAAATTATTTGGAAATTAAAGAATATGTTTTTTATATATGTAAGAATACCTCACATTAAACAGTATATGTTAAAGAGGACAGTAACTAGCTAAAAAGGCAACAGAGCTCCCTGTTTAGTGCTCTCTAAGTTTATTAGGAGGAAATATTGGAAGCTTATTGGGAAAAAATTGGACATGGAAATAGAATAACTGTTAGAATTGTGAGGCAAGATGCTTTTTATGTTATAGAGTAGAGCAGGATCAAAAAGTGTTTAGAGGCGGGGAAAAGATTTTTATGTATCTACCACCTTCATGAAATACACATACATGATTTTTGTCCAGGATTTAGTTTGCCTTTGCTACAGACTAGCCTAATGCTTGCTTAACATCTACCTCTGCAGTCAGATGTTTGCAAAAAACCTGTTACATTGTTTTAGAAGTTGTAAAAAGACAAAAGCTTCCAAGTGCCCAAGTCACTTCTAAAAATGAGACTTAAGTTCCAATTGATTATATTTTTTCATACTTTAAACAATTATATGTATTAAGCTAGTGTTTCCAATATCTTTTAATTAGTGAACAGATTTTCTTTCTTGCAAAATAGCTTGCATTGTAAGTGTATACAACAAAAAATATATGAAATATCTAGAGGAGAAATTCTGTGAAATGTTTTGTGATGGAAGCAATATTGTAATATTTGAAGCATCTGCAGGGAAAGACCTTTTAGGTAACTGTATAGTTCAGAAAATAATCTATGGTTATTTTAAAAAATAAAAACTAAACAAAAAGTCTTGTTGATTCAATACATTTTGAGTATAAATTGTAATTTTCTTATATCTCTTTCTTATTGTAAAATGATAACATAAATTTATTTCAATGAAATTATATTTTTAATGTTCTAGGGAAAAGTGAAAAAGAAACTGAACAAGACAAAACAGAAAAAGGTAAGTCTGAAAGTAACATTCTGTTCTGAAATTCAAAACCATGCTTTCTGGGAGGATTGATTTAAATTAGACTAACAGCTAGTGAAGCTTTGCTCCTGCACATCTCATGTACATAAACTGCAGTTGAATAAACATCTAGAGAGAATGTACTTTTATTGGTAAACACTTGGTTGTTTCCAAGGCTGCCATAAATGTGCACCAATCAATCTTACCTGGTTACAGAATGGAAATATAGAATTGTTTAGGTTGGAAAATACCTTTAAGGTCATTGAGTCCAACTCATAACCTAACACTGAACCATGTCCCTAAGTAACACATCTTTTAAATGCCACAAGGACAGCCTGACAACCTTTTCAGTGATAGAAGTTTTCCTAATGTCCAGTCTAAACCTGTCCAGGCACAACTTGAGGCCATGGCCTCTTGTTCTGTCCCTTGTTACCTGTGGAAAGAGACCAACCTCCACCTCACTACACTCACTACAATCTCCTTTCAGGGTGCTGTAGAGAACTATAAGGTCCTTCCTGAGCCTGCTTTTCTCCAAACACCCCCAAATACTCCCAGCTGCCTCATCAGATTTGTGCTCTGTTGCCTTTCTCTGGACACACTCCAGCCCCTCAATGTCTTTCTTGTAGTGAAGGGCCCAAAACTGAACACAGGATTTGGTTGCAACCTCACCAGTGCTGAGTACAGGCGGACAACCACTGCTCTGGTCCTGCTGGCCACACTAATGCTGATAGAAGCCAGGATGCCATTGGCCTTCTTGGCCCCCTGGGAACAGGCTGGCTCATCAGCTGCTGGAGACCAGCACCCCCAGGTGCTTTTCTGAAGGGCAGCTTTCCAGCCACTCTGCCCCAAGCTTGTAGCATTGCACTGAGTCGTGGGATGGTTATGGCAAGTCCTGCTGTTTAAGGACTAAAATGTTCAGTGTCATACTCCTAGATTAGTATTCTGGAGGTCAGAGTTCCACCAAGCTCTCTCTGCATCTGAGGGCAAGAAGCAATGTGGGCTGCCTGGCCCCTGGAGCTGGGTTCAGCACTGCCAGCTGTGCTAAGTATGAAGAGACAGGTGACATGCTAATGTTGACACCATGATTGCCTAGTCTGTCTTAGGTTAGGTAGGAAGGTGCAGAGACAGATTAGATGGAGAAGTGAGGTTTTGTTGAAGAGCACTGCTCTGAATGTGCTCTCCCTGCAATGACATTTGTTCTGCCCCCATGTGTTCCCTGTCACTGCACAAAGCTTGCAAAACCTCCTTCACTGGGGTCGTGTCTGGTTGTTGACAATGCCCAGAAACCTCAGGGCCTGTGCCAAGGGATTCAGTGGCTCTACTCCTTTGTAGCTCTTATTTTATATTTGAGTATTTAGAAATACTACTTTTCCAATATTGTGGTATGGTTTCTTTGGTTTGGATTTGTATATTGGTGGTTTAAACATAATTTTCTAGGACTGGCAAACTTCAGACATTTTATTTAAGCATTACATATAAAAAACACAACCAAAACAACTTGGAAAGCTTGGCAATTATGCCTACATTTCCATCTATTGGCAGGGAATATCTTACTGCAATGAATCCATTTCCTACGTACTTGATAGTAGGTAAAAACTCACTGTTATGTGCTGCTTTTACAGACCTGTTAGAACAGTATAATAAAATGATGTACAAGATCCATCCAGTATAGGTAAAAAGCAGTCATAGGCAAAAACACCAGCTTGTATAAGATACATACTATTATGCAACATTTCAGAGTCTGTACAAGAGCTTTAGGATATGAAAGTATGACAAAGTGGAGCTACTTTCCTTTTCTACCCTAGGTGCTTTGTGGTTGTTTCTTTCTAAACAGCAACTAAATAAATGTCACTGCAGATTACAGAATTTCTGTAAGGTGGAAAAAGGGATAGTTTTGTTTTCAAAGTTAAATTGATAGAATTTTTCATCCTATGAGGAAAAACAACCCTGCATTTTTAATGAACTTTGTTTATGGGTACACTGCTTGTGTGATTTTCATACAAGCTGAATTTTCTTGAACTTTTTTTCATAGTTTGGACTGGTTTAAATTTCCATTTTCAATAAAAGTGGTTAGCTATAGATGTCTTGGTCAAAGGAAGTGGTATAAGGTACTGTTGAATTTGTTTAAATTAGGCTAATAAGATGCAGCAATAAATTGATGAGAGATGTATTATAAAATATACTGTACTGTGACTGATATATGTAGGAAATTTGGAAATCTAATGAGTTGGGAATTTGAAACTTCATGTTTTGCTTGGGTTAGGATTTGCTTCTGATTGTGAGAGTACATTCTCATCTGCATGTCTGCATTTGTTTTGTGGTATTGGGACATACACGCTCCAAAGAGCCTTCTGTGCAGAAAGTATTTATAGCTTGGAGTAGCTCTTACCTCTTACAACATAATTATTTTTTCCTGCTGCAGCCTTCATAGTACTTGGTTAGTAAAGTGTCCTAATAATTTTGTAAAGTTTAGTATTCAACTATTTCATCAAGTTTATTGAAATTCTCACTGAAAATTATTTGATATTAACAAAATCCCCCTCTGGAAAGTTCTCTAAATAAATAAAAATGAAAATAAACTTTTTTCTAACTTACAGTTGCTTCAAGATTTCTCTGTTATATTTAATTGAGGTGGAATCTTCATTTTATCCATAAGCATGCAATCAGACTTTATATTTAAACAATTAATTGGAATGGGATGGGTATTCCAGGTGAATATGAGAACTAATTCTTTAAAAGGTTTCATAGGTAGTACAGTGCAGGACATGCATGCCACATCCATAAGGTGTCTTTCTGTCTGAGTTTATTTTGATCACGTAGACTAAAAAAAAAAATATTTTTAAGTAACCCTAATTTTTCTACTTTGATTTTTATTGGACATATATTAAATATTTATTTATATTGGTGAACATATATAAAAGTAATTTTCAGCTATGAACAGGTTTGTTTCATACAGTGAATTTCAGCATAGGTGCTATTGTTATAAATAATAATTTTCCCTTTCCAAAACTGATAAAGCATGACAGTAAAAATGAGTGCTGTTTGGCTGGAACACCCAGCTGCATTGCATTAGGAACAGAAGTACATGTAAGCCAGGCTTAGGACAATGTCATTCCACACATGCCCCTGCCACTTGGTGTCATTTTGATAACAGATCAGCATTCACCATTGTTTACTCTGAGTGTTTACCTTTGCAGATATGTAGGATTCCACTGTGATACCAGTAGAGATCTAGTCTGAGGAGATTAAAGTGCTGTTCTTCTGACTGAATGTAGGGGTTTGCTGCAGGGTAAGATCAGTTATGTGCTAAATTCCACTGGGGACAGAGCTCTGTTGTCTGCAGAAGGAGCTTACACGGTTAGCTCACCTCCAGTATTGTCTCCTTGGGTTATGTGGGCTGAGTTGCACCCTTGCAAGCTCTGCTTATAACAATATACATACTACCTATTGATTTGCAAATCTGATACAGGTTACAATTAAATATCTGTGAGTTGTGTGCAGAATGACTGCAACTCCACAATGACCAACATACAAGCATAATTGTCAAAGTCCAAAACTGCTGCATGATGCCATTCTGAACTAAATATATAGGACATTAGAATATTACAGTGTATGTTTTAACAGAAAGTCAATGCAGAAATTTCTTTCTGGTTTTGTCAGAGGATTGCTTGAGTCTACTCTTTGAGTGAATCCAAAAGTCTTAATGGTGAAGGAGAGGTGAATGATGGAAGCGCATGCCAAAACCAAAATTATCATTCTGCCGTTGTTTCTTACGATCAATATCTAACCAACCAACCAACAATAATTTCATACAGAAAGCCCTGTAGAATACTTTTTACTGCAAGGGAAATTGTTCTGGAATAACTGCAGTTAAAGATTTATTATAGTAATTAGATTCCAGCTTTATTAGCCCCTAAAATGCCTCTGTTTTTATTGTCTGATTACTTCCCCAGATAAGTTGATTATAGTGGTTTTGCCTGTTCTACCAATACAGTTTAGAAAGATCTTTTAATTATTCTAGTGCTCCCGGCTTTAAATTGTGTAGATTCAGTTTTCTTGGTTTTATACCTTCTAAGTTATCATTTATAGAAGCCCATAAAACAAGCAGATTACTTACACTCTCTGTATCTCACCTAATGAGCTTCCCAAACAACAGGACAATGACAGGAGTTTTTTATCATCATCAAATTCCCATTCAAGTGTCCACTGAGATGCAGCACAGTTTCCAAAACTAATTTGGGTAATGATGTTGGGCTAGTATCAGGAAGGAGGTCAATTACTTGAGTAAATTTTGAATTCCAAGTCAAAGTCTACTAATATATGTATGTTCTTCAGAATATAATTGAAACTTTGAACTGGGAAGATGTAGTATTGTTAGTGGGTGGCAAAGGGAATTAGTAAAACAAAAGATCATGAAATTAGTTGGAAAACAACTACAGACCATCATCATCAGTATCTACTTGTCATTGTCCCACACTCAGAAGTTGTCATTCACAAGTTGCCAAGAGCATTATTATTGAATTTATATCACAGCAGAGATGGAAGGGTGTTTGAAAACAAAGCCTATGACCCCCCCACCCCTGGAAATATCTTTCTTAGTTTTTGAAAGTTTAAGACCGAGAACTGACAGGAGGAACCTTTGCTGCAAATTATTTATGAGACTGCATCACATGAAGGGGGTTTTATTTCAGATTAACTTTAGGGATGGCATAACATAAGGAGACATAACGATATAGTTATAGCCTCTATAATTAAATAATTATAACTTCTATTAAAATTTCATTTAAGACTCAAGTCATAAAATAATAGAACAGTTTGGGTTGCAAAGGACCTTTAAAGGCTATTTTGTCCAACTCCTGCATTGGGGTCATTCAATTTTCTGGATAGCAGTAAGCACAACATACAGTCAATGGAGTAGGATTGTTCCAGTGTACTTTTCAAATCAGAAACTGGGGACCATGCATCCTCAAGGTAAAGACCAACCTTTATCTTGA